TTGTTCTATTCCCCCCTCCGTTCCCCTCCACCCTGCACACCCCTCCCCCCATTCCCCCCTTTAGTTTATGACCATGTGTCTCAAATTCTTCAGATTCTATATTTCCCCTACTATTCTTACCCTCCCCCTATCTATTTTCTACCTACTGTCTATGCTACTTATTTTCTGTACTTTCTCCCCCCTTCTCCTTCTCCCACTCCCCTGTTGCTAACCCTCCATGTGATCTTCATTTCTATGGTTCACTCCTGATCTAGCTGTCCTCTTAATTTGCTTTTGTTTTAGGTGTGGTTGTTAATAACTGTGAGTTTGCTGTCCTTTCACTGTTCATCTTTTTTTATCTTCTTTTTCTTAGGTAAGTCCCTTTAACATTTCATATAATAAGGGCTTGGTGATGATGAACTCCTTGAATTTGATCTTATCTGAGAAGCACTTTATCTGTCCTTTTATTGTAAATGAAAGTTTTGCTGGATAGATCAATCTTGAATGTAGGTCTTTGGATTTCATGACTTGGAATACCTCTTTCCAGCCCCTTCTTGCCTGTAAGGTCTCTTTTGAGAAATCAGCTGACAGTCTGATGGCAACTCCTTTGTAGGTGACTGTCCCCTATCTCTTGCTGCTTCTAGGATTCTCTCCTTCATTTGAATCTTGGCTAATGTAATTATGATGTGCCTTGATGTGCTTCTTCTTGGGTCCAACTTCTTTGGGATTCTCTGAGCTTCCTGGATTTCCTGGAAGTCTATTTCCTTTGCCAGATTGGGGAAGTTCTCCTTTATTATTTGTTCAAATAAGGTTTCCACTCGTGACTCTTCCCCTTCTGGTACCCCTATAATTCGGATGTTGGAGTGTTTAAAGATGTCCTGGAGGTTCCTAAGCCTCTCCTCATTTTTTTGAATTCTTGTTTCTTCATATTTTTCTGTTTGGTCATTTTTTCCTTCGTCTGCTCCCTTGATTTGAGTCCCAGTTTCCTTTCCATTACTATTGGTTTCCTGTGCATTTCCCTTCATTTCAGTTAGTTTAGCCTTCATATGTTCCTCTAATTTGTGACTAAAATAAACCAGGTTAGTGAGCATCCTGATCACCAGTGTTTTGAACTGTGCATCTGAAAGTTTGGCTATTTCTTCGTCACTTAGAGTTATGGGCTCTGGGGCTTTGAGTTCTTCTTGAGCCATATGTTTTGTTCTGTCTGCGACTGTTATGTCGAGGAGCAGGGCCTTAGGTATTCACCAGGGCGGGGCCACCCAGGTCGCTGGTCTGTGACGCTCTATGTGGGGGCGGGGTCAGAGAGAGAGCAATGGCGGTCCTCTCCACTCGCCCAGTCTGTGTCACAGCTCCCCCCCCCCCCCCCCCCGCCTGCTTATCAGAGCGCAAGTGTGCGAGCCCGCCGCCCTGCGGGATCCGTCTTAAAGCTCACCTCTTCACTAGTTTATCTGTGTGAGAATGCACGACCGACTGCAGACAGCCAGCTGCGCCTCTTCCCTGGGTTCCGCCCGTAGCTGGCCCGCACCTGGGATCCGCGCCCTCGGCTGCCTGTGCACCGCCCGGGTTGGGGGATCTTTTTTGCCGGACCGCTCTGCTGCTGCCTTCACCCCTCTCACCAGTTTAGCTGAGTGGTTCGTTGTTTTTGGACTCTGTATTCGATTTTCTGTGTGGTTTGGTTGCATTTATTGTTGTTAAAACTTGTTGTTTTTAGATTTGGTTGTGCGAGGATGCAAAGTGTTCCCACCTACGCCTCCATCTTGGTGGAAGTTCCTGTTTTTTATTCTGATAAAAAGCACATAACACAGAATTTACAGCCTGAACTGTTTTACATTAAGGCAGTAAAGGACAGTTCGGAGTGTGACTGTACCCACACCCAGAATGTCACCTCTCGCAGGTCTGAAACTCCACGCCCATTACCCAGCCGCGCCCATCCCCTCTCCGCGGTCCCCGCCGGGCTCTCTTCTCTCTGACCCTGTGGGCTGGGCTACTTTCAGCTCCTCACACTGTATTTGCAGTTTGGACACTGGCCTCGTTCACTCAACATGACGTCCTGGAGCCTCACTCGTGCCATAGCATGTGTCATGGACCCCTTCCTTTCAAGGGCTGAGTGGCGCCCCGCTGAGCGAGTGGACTGCATGGTGTACATTTGCTCCTCCGCTGGGGGGCTCCGGCTCGCCCGCTGCTCTCCACTGTTGAGAACCATGTTGCTGTGAACTGGGACGTGCACACAACTCCTCAGGACCCTGCTCGCCCTCCTGCTGGCCTCTCCCCAGACGTGGCATCGCTGGGTCACGTGGTAATTCTCTTGTGGTTTTTGAGGACCTACTGGCTGTGCACGAGGTCACAGTGTGTGTGTATCCTTGTTGACACTTGTTACATCTGTTTTGTTTTGAAGTAGCGACCACCCAAACAGGTGCGAGGCTGGTTTGAATGTGGTGAAAAACTTGGGGTGGAATTGGAACAGTGTGTGAGTCTCTTGCCGAGCTGGAATGGTGTCTGTCAGGACCAGCGTGACAGAACCACAGCGTCAGGGAGAGAACTTGACAAAGGAAACCAGCCACCACGTGGCTGTGTTTGCAAGCAAAGCTGTCCGTGTCCCCCACTCAGGGAGTGACTAGTGTGAGGAGCGGATCCACGCTGGGTGCCACTGCCGCTCCTCGAGAACGAGATCCAGGTCAGGCTGCAGGAGCGGTCTGCTTCTTTGAGGCAGAAGGAGGGATGGTTCGAAGTGCACAGTGTTGGGCGTTCACTCTCTGGAGCCGGGAAGTGTGGGTGTAGGCGGCACTCGAGTCCACCACCAGGGGGCCTCCTCACACCGGCAGGCCTTGCTGCTGCGGGGTCCTCCGCTGCGGCCTGCTGGGACCGTTGCTGTGTGTCCGCAGCGGCCCCTGCCGAACTGCACTCACAGGTTAAAAGGAAGGGAACGCTGACGAAACGCTGAAGTGAGGTGGGTGTGTAGATGCACGTCCAGTAAAAAAGTTCCAGAGTTGACGTGAGCAGTGTCAACATTGAAGTAGCTAACTGCCTGATTGTCTTTTGATGTTTGTGTTACTTTGATTCCTACCAACAGGAAACCCTTGAATTTTGTAACGTGTGCAGTCAGGTTGAGACTTTGTGGAGTTCCTTGGCCTGTCTTTGTTGTTATCAGGCCTCTGCTAGTGTATTTGAAAAAGTAAAGTGGCATCTGCTTATACATTTCAGGGACTTTTTCACTGTAAGCTGGATGAACAGTAACCTCCCGACAGATTCTAAACTTGGACTTCACCTCTCATCCCCTGTATGGCGAAGCCGTGGGAAACGGCCCTCAGTGTCAGTGGAAGGGCCCATGCAGTGGTTTTTGTCCGTCCTCTCTCGGCACACGGAAACTGATTGCCCAAACTCTGTGGAACACCGAAAAATACGCTTTCTGTTGATCTGATTTAAAAAAAAAAAAGATGTAATTCGGATTCACAGCATGTTGCATCCATTCAGTCTGGTCCATGTCCCTTTTGTGGGGTGTGTGTGGAGATCCCTGGCTTCTGGGTACAGACAGGCTCAGTGACTTCTTCCTGGCTGGACAGCCCTGCCGGCACGTGTCTCAGAGAGGCGTCAGCAGTGTTCATCGTGCAGAACGCCGAGCGGGCTAATAGAGGCAGCTTTTCCTTTTATCTTGTGCAAGTCCTGCATTCCAAGAGCGCCTCCCAGTTGGCTTGGGTTGCCTGCACGATCTTAGTCGATGGCTCAGATGCGGCCCCAAGCCCTCCTCAGGCTCTGAGTCCGACATGAGACTTGTGCCGGTGTTTGGCCGGCGGCGGTAGGCCTTGGCGTCCTGGCTGTCCTTGGTAGTGGCGGAAGGGGCAACGTCCATGTATTCAGATGGGTCTGTCCACTTGTTTCCTCTGTGCTTTTTCTAGCTTGCTTGCCTGCGTTTTTCTGGAGCCCCTGTTCTTCCCGGTGTTGCCCAGGTCAGAGTTCACCCTGGTGAAGGATGTGTTCTCACTGGGGCACATACAAGGTCACTCGAGCCCAGCCGCTGTTGGCAGCCTGCATGTACAGCCTGGAGACAAAGCCTTGTCAAGAGTGGCGCCACTGGATGCAGACAGGCCCCTCGCTGTCAGTGGCCCGTGAGTCCGTCAGGTCTCTGTTGGGTCACAGTTAGGGAAAGCACTAGAAGTTTGTTAGTGTGTGGCGTTGGCTGCCAGCACAGTGGCCCCTAATTTGGAGGCCGACGCTCAGATGGTGGGGGCTCCGGGGGCTCCAGGGGCTCCAGGGGCCTCAGCACTAAGGATCAGGGTCCTTCTGCCGCAGTGGCCATCTCTCAGTTTGAAGGGAAGTGTGAGGAGTTTTGCCTTTCAGAAATGTTTCTGGTACAGAATGTTTTCGCTCCTGCTCCTTCAATACGAGTTTCTTGTACTTTGCCCCTAAGAAAGCAGGCCACGCACTCGGATCCCCAGCACCCCTCAGAGCGGATTTGGGAACAGTTGGCGCCTCAGCCTCTCACTCTGCGCGTTCTCTGTCTGGGTGCTTTTAGCACACACCACACGCTCCCTGGGACAGTGTTGGTCTGGGAGCGCTTTACGTCAGAGACGGTCGAGTTCCTGTGGACAAGTCTGTGCAGACTTGTTTTTGATGTTGGTGAGGGCTTTGAAATTTTTCTCCAAATGATTCTTATTTCATCAAGGTCATCATTTTAAGCGTAAGGGCAGAATGTGGCTGGGAAGTGCCTGTGCGACAGAAGGGTCCCAGGTGGCGCACGCAGGCAGACAGGGTCTTTTGGGCCCCGTGCTGGAGTGCCCGGCAGTCTTGTAAACGGGCCGAGAAGGACCGCACAGGAGGGTGAGGCACAGGAGGGTGAAGCACAGGAGGGTGAGATTAGCGAGTTAACGAGGGCCTGGCTGCCTGCCCTCCCCCTCTCCTCCCGCCCCCTCCCGCCTCCCCGCAGTGAGTCCAGGAACGCAGAGCCGCAGGGTCACGTTACCAGCCGGCTCCGTCCTGTTCAGCGGCTTAATCTGCCTGGGAAGGTCTGTGTTTCGGATTGCGGAAGCGGGAGGAGATCCGGTGACGGAGGGCACTCTAAAGTTGCTGCAGACGCAGAGGAGCACCTCCCAGAGTTGCCTCACGCTCCGACAGAGGGGTGCAGGGGCAGCTGCGTCGTGCGCCTGGATGGAAGGGGGCGGCCCCTGTGGGAGCGAGGCCCGGGACGCGGTGTGTGGACTCCGGGCCGGGTCCCTGTAGCGCCCTGTTGATGTTGCTGGACCGGGCGGGCCGCGCAGCCCGGACACCGGCAGCCGTCTGTATGGAGCGGAGCGGCTGCAGCCCATTCCCAGTGTGCTGGGCTGAAGGTATGAACACACCGTGGGCACCGAGGGGGGAGCTTGCGACTGTCTGCACTCGCCTCTGCACTGGAAAGGCGGGGAAGGGTTTTTCAGAACGTACTTCAAGTAGATTCACAGTTAAACTCAAGGGGAAGCGACTGTTGGCGTGGCACGGGTTTGCAGCCCTTGCTGCACAGAACCCCTCAGATAGCTTTTCAGTCGGTGAAACGATCTTCTGGAAATGCATGTTAAGTGCATAAGGCATCTTCTTCATATGCCTTGGCCTGTGTCTCTCGAAGTTTTATTTTGTGTTTTAAGCAAGGTGTCCATATCTGTTCTGTGATGTGGAAGTTTGCAGAGAGTAAAGAACTGATTTTAACTTAAATAGCATTTCATTGGAGGAAAAAGAGTGAATCGGTTTCCTTTACTCCCTGCGAAGACTGTACACTTATTTAACATAAATGTAAATTTATGTTAAGCTCCTTGTTATTGTGAGGTGGGCTCATTGCTGAGGGTCTGTGTCTGTAAAAATGTACGTAGAAAGTATAGCACTTGTATTATAGTATTTAAGATAATATTTGGGGAACATGATTAGAAGTTAAAAATGCCATAAAATTCATGCAGATATAGGAGCAAAACCTTTAGCTGCTTTGCCTAAAGTAGTAGTGAGTATTTAACCTGCAAGGTGAGTCCTCAGTGAAGAATTTAGTGAAAGTATTATTACTGTTTTTAAAATAGGCTATTTAAGCGTCGTGCTCCTCCACTCTGGAAATTTTTTAAAATTTTACTATTATTCAAGTACAGTTTCCTGCCTTTCCTCACACCCCAGCCGTCCCCCCCTCCCTCCCCTGGTTGCACACCCTTGGTGTTGTCCTTGTGCCTTTATGGTTGTTCCTGGAAATCCTTCCCCCTTTTCCCTCCATCATCCCCTCCCATCTCCCCTCTGGTTACTGTCCGTTTGTTCTTAACGTCAGTGTTTCTGGTTATATTTTGCTCGCTGGTTTGTTTTTAAAGGAGGCTGCTGTGCGGGCAGAGTGCCAGGTGGCAGAGCAGCGCCCCCAGGGGACCGGTGGCTCCGTTGGCGTTTACTGTGTTGTCCTTTAATTTATTCTTCCCTGGGCTTTTAAGCATTTCTAAACCACATGGTGTAGAACTGTGTTAGTGTGATGCTGTCTGGACAAAGCACCTGCCCTTGTGTGGAACAAGTAGGTGCTCAGAGCGAAGACTCTGCTTGCCGAGGTGACCCAAACTCTTGCGTTTTGCTGAGCCTGGGTTTGGGAGCCTCGAGGCTGTCTGAGGTGTGTGACCGGGCGTGGACAGCAGTGAGTGCTCAGTGCAGGGTTCTGTACTTGTGGGACATCTGGGTCTCCCCCTGGGCTTGCGGGGAGGGTGCTGGTGTCTGTCTGCACCGACCCTTCCCTAGAAGGCCCAGGCCCATGGCTTGCTCCCCAAGTCTGGGCCCGGTCCGAGCCCTGCGAGTCCAGCCGCAGTGGCATGTGGGGGTGATCAGCTGTTTGGTTCCATACAAACTTGACAGTGACTTTAGAAAGAGGAACTTTGGAAGAGAGATTGTAGTGTTTGTGCACATCTCAAAGCAACGAAGCAACTCATTTTTTCATTGTATTTGTTAATGTAATGAAAAAATTATATTAGTTTTTTACATTATGTTTGTTAAAGAGTGGATGAGTAGAGGCATTTTTACCAAAATAACTTCTTAAAAGATTGTATATATATATAGCCCCGACCGCTGTGGGTCAGTGGGTTGAGCGTTGTCCTGCAAACTGAAAGTGGGTGTGCCGGGTGCCCGGTCAGGGCGCCTGCCTGGGTTGCTGGCCAGGGCCCTGGTTAGGGGCGTGTGAGAGGCAGCTGACCAGTGTTTCTCTTCCTCTCTTTCTCCCCCTCTCTCTAAAAGTAAATACATAAATAAAATCTTTAAAGAAAAAAGAAAGGTTTGGCCCTCACCCAGCCCCTGGGAAGTCACCTCATAGCCCTGGTGTCTCTGACTGCTCAGGCTGTGTCCTCAGCTGGTGCCACGGGGCTCCCCAGATGGCCTTCACCACACTGTGACTCTGGGAGGTGCCTGGGGACACACCAGACCTGCTCGATCGCTGAAGGGACAGGGAATGAGGTTGGCCATGCTGGTGGCACCTGTGTGACCGACCCCCAGTAAATATCTTGGGTCTGCAGGCTCAGGGGCGCCTCCTGGCTGGCAGCACCCTGCGCATGTCCCCCACATGGTGGCTGAGTGCAGGGCGCACCACTCCATGGGAGAGGACACCTGGGGCTCACACCCGCCCCCTCCCGGGCGCTGCCCTGCACCCCCATTCCTTGGCCGATTCCCATCTGTCTCCGTCCTCGTCATGGACCACGGCCGCGAGAGCAAAGGCCTTCCTGAGTCCTGTGGGTCCTCCGGGGTCTGCGCGCCTTCAGGTCGCTGTGGGGGCCTCCAGAGGTGCTGGTCTTTGTGGGAAAAGGAGGATTTTATTTATCTTTAGAGAGAGGAGAAGGGAGTGAGGAGGAGGGGGAGTAACATTGATGTGTAAGGAAAATATCCCGTTGCACCCGCTTCATCTGGGGATGTGGCCTGCAACCCAGTGGCCCCCCTTGGAATCGAACCCCTGACCTTTCAGCTTGTGGGATGACGTCCAGTCCACTGAGCCACACTGGTCAGGTTGGGGTTGAGCAAGAGAGACAGAGCTCACACGTGCAGAAGATGGGAAAGGGAGGGCCAGCCGCAGGTCGGGGTCAGCCCTGTTGCGGGGCTGGCACGGGCCGTCTCAGAGGAGTGGTCATGTGTGCGGGTCTCTCAGGAGGGGGTTCTGGCGTGACTGGGGAGCTTGCCCTTCGTCCCTTTCTGGGGGCTGAGCAGGCATCTTCCCCAGTGAGCTTGCGCAGGCCTCCGGGTACCCCTCCTCTCGGCCTCTCTCTGCTCTCCTGCACCAGCACGGGGAGGCTGGGGCCCTTGGCTTTTGTCCTGGTTGAGTTCTGCGGGGTGACAAAGGCAAGGGTGTTGGGGTGTAGGGATAGGCTGAATTATTTTCCAGCGGAGAGGTTACTGCTCGGAGATAAAGACAGAATGAAAAAGCTCAGATTTGAAGGAAATACTGATCTCTGTTTGCAGTTAGACATTCTAAACCTCGCCTTTGATTTTATCAGTCACATTAACCTCAAAACCCAGCAGTGTCCCAGTTCAGGAGGATGTATAAAGTGCTTATTAGAACAGCTAAAAATAATGGAGCAGACCTATATTTGTGTGTTGGGAACCGAAACCCTGTGGGGTCCCTGGTAATGAAATTTACTGTGTGTTGCTGTGGTGTGAAGAATCCACCTTAGATCCCACCCATGGAAGATCGGATTTTCACGTGTCAAAAGGACTTGGCTACAACGTGTTCATCCATGCGACAATTTCCTAGGCTCACAGACGGTTCTCATTTCGGGGCTTGAAGTGAATGGGATGGCCACTGGTTGTGTTTGGTCACCAGGACTGAATGCAGAAAGCCCTGTGTGACGATTTCTCTGGTCATAGCATGTCAGTGTCTGCATTGTTCGTCTCAGCTTTCGAAACACAGGGAAGGATTACAGAGGAGCTCAGAAAAAGGCAGACACGAGCTCACAGCGGAAGGGAGGGCGGTTGAGGAGGCAGCCGAGGGAGGTCGAAGGACGGGGTTTGGGGAAGAAGGGGCCACTCAGTTCGGGGAAGAAGTTCCAGAGATGCTGTCATTTCGGGGGGCTCGGCAGCAGGAGGTGGGCAGCGGCGGTTGGGGTCCAGGGCAGCAGTGCGGACCGAGCACTGTTTCCCCCCCCCCCGGGGTTTACAGGGGAGACTTTCTGTAGTGGCCACTTTCAGGGTAGTGTCCCCCAGGTCGCTGACGCTTGGCTTTTCCAAGTCTGTAGGTGATTTTGAGGCCCTGCAAATTTTATTTGGATTTTAAGTTGACACTTTTCATACATGCTCTTGTTTCAGATTGTATGTGTAAATACGCATTTTCTTATGTTTACATTGGCCAGAAAATGTTGCATAGAAAGGTGTGTTGTCCACTTCAGTAGAAACCCCAAGGACAGGCTGGGACCTGCTGACCAGAGGGGTGCTGGCAGCTGTGTCGCCCTCCTTCTGTAAGGAAGAAAGTGCTGCCAGAGTGTCGCACGTTGATGTTTTTACCGTGGAAGTCTCACTGTCTTGTGAAGTGGACGGACTCATCGAGGAGAACCCCAGACAGTTGAATGTTTCTGTTTGCACGCCCGCGTGAGGTGCTGCTGGGGTGCTGGTGGCGCGCTTTCAGTTTTGGAAAACCCATGTTTTTAAAGAGGGCAAGGTTCAGGGGGAAGTTCAAGGTAAAGGAGCACTTGTGCAGGGCTTGGCTTTTGCGTTCGGTGACACATGTCAGACACACAGCTGTGCGAGTCAGAGCGGCAGTCGAGGCGCAGGGGCGTGGCCGCTGCGGGTGGGACGCACTTCTGACACATTTGAGGGACCTTTGTGGGACCAGCAGTGGCAGGTCAGCGTTCAGGGAGCCCTTTTCGTTCATGGAGTACGTGCTCCCCTTTCCTTGGCCGGGAGAAGTCCAGTCGCCCTTGTTCAGCCACCGTCGTCACCTGTTGGATGCCCCCTTTGTCCCCTGCATCTTGCTGAGCACTCTGCACTCACCATCTCAGCTCTCGTGGTAGTTCCTGCTGCTGCCAAGCACAGGTGTGGGGCCTGCAGCGACCTCAGAGGCCCATTGCGTGAGTAGGAGCCAGACGCAGCTCCCAGCGTGGTTAGCTATGCAGGCTCCGCTTTCCACCAGGTCTTGCTCCAGCGTTGCTGCCTGGGGGCCTCTCCGAGACACGCCTCTGCCGTGCGGTTTCCGGCCTCGCTCCTATGTAGGCTTTGGGATCACACTGGACTCATTCTCGTGAGGTCGATTTTGTGACTTCTGTGAAGTTTTAGCTGTTCTGCGACCCTAGGGTGTCTTGCCCATAGAAAGTAACTAAATGGCTCAAGGCAGATATAATTTAGTATCAATGTTCTGAGGGACGCACCTAACCAG